AACTCGGGGAGCGCGGAAACGCTGCCGGGGGGACGCGGGCGCCAGGAGGAAGAGCGTGGCCACCCCTGCTCCGCGGAAGTGATTGGCGTCGCCCGGGTGTCGCTCCCTGATGACGTTACAGCGAGCTAAGGCGGGAGGGAAGGGAGGGCAGAGGGCCCCGGATGTTGGGATTGCTCGGGGGTCCGCTGAGAGCTGCAAGTGGACCTGCCACCCAGGAGTTACTGCGACTGCGCGGGCACACGCGGGGCAAGGCATAGCCAGGGCTGGTGATCGCTGGCGGCAGCTTGCGCGGGGAGTGGTGATCAGTGGGGTGTAGGGCGTCCAGGCCGCCCTGCCTTCGCCACGCGCAGCGTTGCCCCGTGTACGATAATGATCATGTTTGCACGATGCCAACCCTTGCACGATGTACGATCAATAACAGTCGAAGTGTTCAAAACGTACCGTCATTTGGAGGCAGCTCATTGATGCAGCAAAACCCAAGTCACTCTCAGGGAGTCTTAACTGAGGTTTGGGTTTGCTGCCAGTGCTTCATTAGGACAAGGGATCCTAGTTTTCTCTGATTAAAAGGAAAAAAGATCTACAATTTTGGGTATAAAAAATAGCCCAACATCCACATTTATATAAGTGGTGTTACAATTTAATCATGGACAGATGCAGATTTTGGGGGGGCAGAGGGGAGGCTTATAGCTGAAAATTGGGGATTTGTTTATCAGGAAACTAGGATCCCTGCTTATGACTACTTAACACAAAATAAAATGCTTCAACTTTGATGACCCAGTTCTCAGTCACTGGTGAGTTACAATGAGTAATATAAAGTCAATAAGAAGACTTATTTGCAAGCTTATTTGCATAGCTTTTCAGTGAACAATAGTTTCTCAGATCCCAGGTTCCCTAGGGAAGCGACCTCAAGCCAGCCCTTAACTGAGCATCCCTCTTCCCAGAGATCTCACATCTCCTGTGGCCCTGCTCCCAGTTCAGATGAAAGCCGGCCAGAAGCTAGCTATAGAGGTGCTACATGTTTCCAAGCACCAGCTTAACAGCTGGAGTGTCACCCTGGGCTATAATCACTTTGCTCATGTGGCTGGTCTAAATTCATCATGCCATTCACCAGTTCCTTGTGTCACTTATGTAACGTAGCAGGGGGCCTAGAAATCAACTCCGTCTGTGTGCAACTGCATCACGGCGTGTCCCTCTGGATGGCTTCATCCAGCCATGATGTTTGCTGTTCCAAGTTGCTCCCAAGCACATAATCCCAATGTCTTTACGGCCACATCCAGACAAGCGTGGATGTGCGGTAGGTGGCACGGCAGACCCATCTGCAGCGCAACATACCGCAGATGCAGGCATTCCCTGCCCTATCTTGCAGTGTATGGGGTTTTTTTGACCCCAGGATCTCCAAAAAAAAGTGGGCCAGTGTGCATGGAGGCAGTGCACACTGTCCAACACTGGAGCCTGGCCAGCCAGAGCCATGCTCCAGCTGTCGGCCAGGCTCCCGGCTGCAGGAGCACCACAGCTGCAGCTCCCTGAAGCCCCCAAGACCCTAGGTAAGGCTGCTGGGGCCAACACGGTTGCTGGCCCCAGCCTCCCCTACCCCACCTGGGGTAACCTGCTGTGCACCAGAGGGCAGGTAGCACGGGCATTCCCTGGGGACAAGCAGCAGAAGCACAAGGTATGCCGCTACTACTTGTCCCCAGGGAAACAAACATCTGCACTTGTGTGGACGCGCCCTACTTATGCTAACTTTTCCCACGACATGAGCTGCTTTAGAGCCAGTTGAGTTGAGTTGCTCATGCTGTTACCAAAGGATGCAGCATCTTGTTCCGTGCTGTTTCCCTAAATGTTCCTTAGGCCCCTGCTACACTTCACGTATGTGACGCAATTAACTGGTGAATGGCACAATAAATTTAGACTGGCCACGCATGCAAGGTGATTATCACATGAAAAGAATCACTGTCCAGCAACAAAGAGAGCCAACTGGCTATAAAGTTTGTGCTTGAAAGTGTGTAAGAGCTCTACAGCTGGTTTCTAGCCAGCTTTCATTTGAACGTGTAGTAGGGCCCTTATTTTCGCATTTCAAGTTCTCCACTTGCTTAAGCATCAAAACAAAAACAACCTCAGTTCATTCCTTCTGGCTCCAAACTGGGTTCCATACTAATGTAAGAAAGGCAATAAAAAAAAAACCAGAGACAACCTCAGCTCTTTCCTGCAGCAGTTTCTAGAACAACAAACTTCCTTGAGCAAATGTGATGTTTACCAGTTTCCTGTAGTGCTTCACAAAGAAAATCTACTACTTACATGGTTAACGAGGATGGACAATTTGGTTAGGCTGGGCCAGCCCCCCAGTTGGTTCTTATTTCAATTAAAAAAAACCCTGATTTCTCTTAAAAGGTACTTCTGCTATTGTCATCATTTCAGAAGCGCACACACCACCAGTACACTCAATGTAAACTTAAGAACCATGCCATTTTATATAAGGGTAGGACTGATTGAAGAAATTCAAAATACGTTTTTGAAAACATAATGGTTTCTTAAGCATTTCTGCATATGCTAATTAAGTACCCAAATATTCATTTCTAGAAGTTATGACTAATTAGCTTTGTTTAGGCAACATAGATACTTTGTTACAATTTAGGCCAAACTAAAGTTTTCCTGGAGGTGTCAGCTACCAATATATTGTAGCTACCATAATACTAGCTTTTCTACCCTAAGGGCACACAGGGACATAGCAATGCACTACGTCTCCATACAGCACACTACAGCGACACAGCAAACACATGCGTCTACACGTGATTGCCAGCTATGTCACCATAGTGGCACACACCCCAGGTATATATAGCATGCCACTATGGCGATGTAGCAGCAAAATCTACTTGTGTGCTGTGCACATGGTGTAGTAACCACCCATACTGTGCCATGCTTCAGTACTTCCAAAAGGAACTTCCATAGCAATGTCACCATCTGGCAATATGTAGACATGTCCTAATTGTCTGTAACAGAAGTGGCCAACCTGCCACAACATAGCAGCAAACTGGGCTAGGAACAAAAAGCAGAGCAGATCTGGCAGGAGAAGTGGATCAGAGTGGCATTTGGAGAGGGTGCAGGCCTAGTTTGTGGCATGCCTGCCCAACAGGCTGTTCCCCATAGGCCTATTAACACCTTCCCTCCTGGGTAATGCTAATTTCATGCTACCATAAATAGGCATCAAAATTTACCCCTTAGCATAGAATTAAACTTTCATTTAGGGGAAATTCTTGTCAATGTTAACAATATGAACCGATGTAAGGAGGCCTGCCCAAGTCTGTGAAAAATACAAAAAAAAACAGCTGCAGGAAGGCTAGACAGCAGAAGTATTCTTCAGAAGGAGCTTGGGACTAACTCCATACTTGTAACGTTGCTATTTTATATGATCCTTTTTTGCAGTAAATTCACCATTTTGCTGCAGCCAAGTACGGATATTTGTTTTCTATTTTCCTTTTTTGCATTTTACTCTTCACCTTTCCCATTCTCTGTAGGTAACTAGATTAGACTGCATGTGATTTAGTGTCCTATGGAACCGCACAGCAGAGGGGCAGGGAATGTGAACTTAGATCAGCTTTTAGCCAGGGAGCAGTGTCAGGCCAGCAATGAGGTTTGTGGAAGGCAGTGAGTGTGTTGGGGAGGGTTATGTCATGTGTGGAAGGGGAGGGTGGCTAGGGTGTGTGGGGTGTGCATGGGGGGGGGGGGTGCCCACAGTCCCTGCCACCAGCAGCACCAGGCTGTGAGGCCTCAGGGTATTCAGGACCTGCGGCAGGCTAAGCCCCTACCAGTGCTCCTGCCCCTGGCACCAGCACAGGTCCTGTACTCCTGCCCACCCAATCACCGCCACTTTCCCCACCCCCATCTAGCACCACTGCCCTTTTCCTGCTGCTTCCCTACCTTCCTCCCCACATCTCCCCAGCCAGCTGGCTCCAGCACCACACTGCACGGTCAGGTCCACAGAACGCAGGAAGAGCTGGCTCAGCCCAGCCAGCACCACACACACCCAGCTGTGAATTGCAGGGGCCAACCTGGGCCAGCTCCTGCTGCATCCTGCGGTCCAGGGATGCAGCCAGGAACTACATGGTGCTGAAGTGGCCAGCAGCTAGGGACCTGGGGAAAAGTGGCAGCAAAGGGTTGGGAAAGCAGGGAAATGGTGATTGCAGCGGCTGCAGGCACGGGGTGGAGAGAAGAGTGGCAGTGGGCAGGAGTGCAGCAACAGCTGGACAGGAAAACAGGGACCATGCTCGTGCCTCAGGACTAGGGCTGGCAGGGGCCCAGGAGCATAGGGTGTGGGCTAACAGGGGCTCTATGGAGCTGGGCCGGGGTGCGCCAGCAGGGAAAGGGGCAGAGCCAGCTCCCACCCAGCTGTTGCTGAGCTCCTGCCCACTGCTGCTCACCCCCCGCCTGCTGCCGCTACAACCACCATTTTCTTGTTTTCCCGCCCACCGCCGCTTCTCCCTGCCCCCTGGTAGCCGCTTTGGCACCATGTGGTTCCCAGCTGCATTGCCAGGACCACAGGATGCAGCAGGAGCCAGCCCAGCCCCAAGAACTAAGGTGATCGCCGATGGTCCTCCCTTCCCCTCCCCCCCAGCATTCTTAGCTGAGTTGCATGAAAGTGGAGAACAGCCCCAGAGTCGCCAGGCCAAAAGCCTGTTAAGTAGGGGTTTCCAGTTGGGGGCTGAGGGGGGTGGGGGTGGGGCTGGGTTGGACTTGCTGCTGCAGCTGCTGGGTCCTGCTGCCAGCTCCCCCTGGGTCCTGCTACAGCTGACACCTTGTCATCTTTGACAGGCAGCCAGGGTCAGATGATACTTAATTTTCTAAACTTTTTAGGGGCCTTGCAGGCCAGATAGAATGGCCTGGCGAGCCAGATCCAACCCACGGGCCATATTTTGCCTGGCCCTGGTCTAGATGGTTTTTAAGCAGTAATTTCTGCTGCGACAGGAAACCAAGTAAAATGACCCATTTAAGACAGAGAAGCATCATTTTTCCACAAGCATTTTACTGTACTGCAACAAATACATTTTCCCATTCAAATAAGACATATCAACAAAAATAACCAAAAGAATAAAACCTTAAAAAGGCACTTTTTCCTCTCACATTCCACGTCAATAAATAACCTCACAAGCACAAGAAACTATTAACGCTGAAAAGTGGGCTGAATAATACACGTTCAGTATTCCACATAACATGACAACATGAACCTGAAATGATGCAATGCTGATCTTCCTACAATGATCTTTTTTGCACAAAACAAGACAACTGATTTGGTTATTTACTTAAACATTTGCACATACCCTTCAGAAGGATGAGCTGCCGTATTAAGTGCATATATGCCTCTTGACAGCTGAGTGCATACTGTTTGAAGTCAGTGCACTTGCATATACACCATCCACAAATGTAACTTCAGCACAAAGAACTAGGGTAGCTTGATCATCCTGTATACCAGGCATGATCATTTGATTTTTTTTTCCAGGCATTCCAGAAAAAGTCAAGTAGACCATTCCTGCAAGAAGCTCAGGTTCTACATTTTGCTGACATCCTGTCAGTGCTAAAAGTGTGTAGACTAAGAACAATTACAGCAGTGATAAACATTTAACTTTGCTTTAAAAGTTAAGTATGGAATTCTATACTTTTAAAAGAGACATTTCTGTTAATATAAGCTGTTTAAGAACAGCTGACGTTGCTTGCAAATGTATATTTTAATGCCCTCACATAATTCAAGTCCGAAGTCAATTGTTCCAATATCCAACACAGATTCTCACTGTGAAAAACTGTAAACACTCTCTTCTTTAAAGCATGATAGAACTGTGGTCCCAAAACCTTTGCTGAATGTGAAATCATGGTATTGAAAAGGTTTAGAACCACTAATTATGGTATTCTTCCTTACCATGAGGGCCTTCTTAATATTTAAAATTAATATCTAGATTTCAATATTTCCACAGAAATCTCCTGCAATCAGATATCAATTTTGGGTTATTAGCACTGGGAGGTCCAACATTTTCTTAGCACCCAACACATTCATAGAGATCCATTTTCAGACCTGGAAACAGGTTATCTTTAGCCAGATCTCCTACAACAGATTCTTTACTCTTAATTTACTGAATTAGCCCATATTTCCATAATATTTAAAGGTACACCATTTTGGCTTAGCTAAATGAATTATAGCGCCCAGCTTATAGCAACAGCATTTTCTGCTTACTAAATGTATACCTAAAGCAACCTGCAACTATCCCTTGGTTTCATTCGTAGTACAGAATTTGCAAGTAATTATCCCTCCTCAATTTAGGGATAATTTTCTTTACTCACTCAATCTAAAGACAGCATGCATAGGGTTAACAACACTTTAAATACATACATGCATACAAATTTTGTTGTTTTTTTTTCATTTGGTACAAAAATATTTTAGAAAGACGTGTATGTGTATGAATAACAGTAAAGAAAAACTATTAGTGCACATGAGCAGAACTTGCACCATAATTTTACCTTAAATATTCAAAAATACTTTCATAAACAACATCTTCTTAACTCTGGATGTTCTCAGAAGAAAAGTGCCTTGTGCATTTAAAAAAAATACCTACTTTGTGGTTTCAGACTTAGCCACTTTAACAACGAACTAGTAAGAGTGAAATCCACAATCAAACAATTGCTTTAAGTGGAATGTATGATTAAGCACCTATTGTGATGACTGGTTCAAGATGAGATATCCATACACTATGAGTAACTGCACATAAATGACCCAACTCTACCATCTTCTGGAGGCAAAGAAGAGGCATTTCTCACTCTTGCACTTCACTTGACTAAACATACTGAAGAGTCTCTTCAGGAATCTGAACACTGATTGTGTTTAGTTTGACAGCACTGGTTGCTTATTTAAAGGCAATGGTAAACATCCTACCTAGAAATCAACTCCCACCGTCCTGAATGTTATGTTCATGTAACAATAACTTTGACCTATTTTGCTGAATGAAAGCCGTGAAGAGCAGAATTTTCCTGTAATTCTTGTTTAGGAAGGTGGCATTTGCATTAAGTTGTCTTTTGAGTCTATGTTCTCCATACACTGGCACCTGCGTTTCCTCACTTGTCCAACTGTGGCATGCATCCTTCCTGTGACACATGAAGCCATGACTGCTTGAAGCAATCACTCCTTCCTAACAGTGGAACAAGGGGTGAAAAAAAATGAATTCCCCCAGCAAAGTAAGCAGAAGGGGAACTAAAGACTGACTTCTTCGATTAAGATTCACAGAATAATTTCTGCAAAAATCCCCCATATTATAAGCTAACGACACATCTTAAAAAAGCCAGAATTTCCTTAAACCACACAGAATTGTGACAAATCTTAGGAACAAGATTTTGTTTTTTTTAATTAAACCTTGTTACTCCCAAAATTAGGCAGATTTTCAACCCAGAAGCACAGTTAGCTTTTGACAACATTTAAATTCCCTAACAAGTATATTTTGAAAGTATACTTGGTTTGGTGTCAGTTACAGAGAATACAACTCACTATAGCCTGAATTACTAGGAAAAAAGTCCTTTCACCATGAAACATCTGAACTAAGAAGCATCCAAAATTTCAAAAGAAGTTGCAATCAGCCATTTATGACCATATTACTACCTCCAGGTTCAGGAAGACGACCAAAGAGCTTGGTTCTTCCAAAACCTATACCTACCTCTGGAGAAGCATTGTTGTAGCTATTTTCCTATTGTCCAGAAGTGCAATGTAATCAGCCAGAAAAGCTTTTACATGTATGAGTTGTGTCATGCATTTTATGTCCTAGAGCACTTACATCTCTTCTAGAGGAATTCTATCAAGTTTAGTTTCAAGAGCTGGTGTTTGGGTTCTAGCATATTAGTGAAGTAACATTACAGTATCCACCATTTTCTGAGAACTTTTTGGACAGTCCAACATTATGATGATCCACTTTATTTTTCCCCGTCAACACGTTAGATGCCTGATGCAAGCAAACACTAAAGAGCATTTTTTAAATTGCCCTAAGTTCAAAAGCTAAAGCAGCACAGTTTGAGGCAACAGACAATCTAGCATCCGTCAGAAATCCAGTTTCTTCAGCTGTTCATATGTCACAAAGAACTGGAGCAACTAGTCAAGGAAGATGAATAATTAGCATTTTCTGTTAAAAACATTTGTTATGAATAATGTCTTTTACATTAATTTAATTAATTTTAAATATATAAAACGCTGATCTGCAATTCTGCCCTCAAATATTGTACATAGTAGTGAACTGCCACTCCCTCTAGCAGCTGCTACAATGTCCTCTGGCACCCAGGGCACAGAACAAAGGAAAGTTTGCTTCAGCGCATGCTGGCTTCACCCCTAAGCTCTTCTCTTCACATGATCAAGCACTTCTCCAACTTTGTCTCAAGTATTTTGGATATTCAACTAATGAAAGGCTAGAAGCCACTCTGGAAGAGATACTCTTGGACCCTTGTGCCTCCTAACCTTTCACTGGAAGCAACTATATTGCTAAAAAATGTTGTTTGTAAAAAGAAAGGGGAAAAATAGAACTGCCTCTTCATAAAGAATTGATCAGTCAACTATTAGAGCAGAAGGAAAAGCAGATGGCTAATGGTATACTGTGTAAATTGTACAGCAGAGTAGAAAGAGATGCGTGAAAAGATTTTATGACCATCTGTAGTTTCATTAATTCAGGAAACTGCCACAGGTTATATTGTATAATGTCCAAAACTGCTAATTGACCTGGTCACTTATATATAAACTAAATCCCAATCCAATAAAACATACAAATAGGAAACTGAAGATTAAAGAGAATGAAAATGCTTAAAACAGATGAGACAAATCATATTAAAAATTCACCTTGTGTTTAGAATCTTAGAGAACATGAATACATGCCAATATTACTTCTGTTAGAAAAATACAGTCAAACACACCAGAATGTTACATGAAGCACACATCACTAGTCCACCATATCTCCTATGAAGGCCCACTACTCACCAAAAAAGATTTTAAAAAATATTTTTGAACATTGTTGAAAAAAAGGATACAATAATATTCCAAGGACCAAGTCTTAACCAATTTGGCCAGAATCCTTTATATAAAGCAAAAAAGCCTTCATTCTTCCATGTCTGGAAAATAAATTCTATATTAATGAGAATCTAGAATGTCAATACAAAGCCCTTCCACTGAATGTGATGTCTAAGATTTAATCTTTTACATACTGAGTTCTGCCAGAGTGCTCCTCCAACAAGACTGGTCATGTTGCAGATTAGGGCATCCAGTTTGGAAGGCAGAGACAAAGTCTGTCTCCCATGAAAGGGTGCCCATCCAATCCAAACCAAAAGACACAGAATTTCACCCCTCAAAATCTACCAGGGAAAACTGATATTTTTTAATCTTACTCCTCATAGCCAGCACTTTGCTGATACCAAAGAAATGGTTTTTGGTAATCAAAAAGTTTAAAGTTCCAGCTGTCAGACTAGACAGAGACCCCACTGTAACCCTGCCTGCTCTCTACTACATAAATAAATTGCCCTATACTTGCTTAGCAACATTTCTGAAAGTTCATATATTTTAAATTTTAATGCCCTGCAACTGAAAACAGCAAAGGTTAAATCAAGTAAAGCAACAGATAATATCAAAAACATGAAAAAATGAAAAGCTAGCCAAAAAGGGGGGAAAAAAAAATCTGACTATTCAAAAACTCCACCCATCCTCTGGTTTTTGAAATTTGAAAAAAGTTAAGCTGCTTTTACAGCAAGAGTTTAATCTCTACCTGGACTCCGAGAAACCGGATAATATGGACACCAACTTCAGTCTTTTTCATGTCAGGCATTTTTAAAGGCAGATATTTTAAGTACATCTCCATGCTCATTGTCAAGAAAACTGTACATACTGTTCTCAACTAAAAATGGCCCCTCACTTTTGGCCCATTATTTCTCCTGCTTGGCTATCCCCTGCACAAACAAAATCTTAAATACTTGTTTACATTACGGGGAGATATTGGTATATTCTTACAACGGGGAAAGATGCAAGTTTTCCCATGCAGTGCTGGGAACCCAGTTAGCATATAACTGTTTACTATGCAAATGATACGTACTTGTAACAAGCAATCCAAAGTGCCCTTGTAGCCTGATTGTGTCCCATTTTGCAGGCTTCTCTGATTCATCATGCGTGTTCTCACAACATCAATTGGATTTGATGCAAGGGCTCCAGCTAACCCACAGGTGAAGCTTGATCTAATGAAAACCAATTTCACATACAATTTTATTACAAACCCCCCAAAGTTTTTACAGTATATAAACACGCCCAATCGAACAAAAATGTTTATAAACATTCTAGTTAGAAATTGTGTCTGTGTTCCTATTAACAAACTATTATTTTTCCACATCCGAGAGTAAAGTAAGTGTGGTGGAGGTGGGAAGGGGGCAAAAGAAACAAAACAAACACATAACACAGGTTAAGACCAGGTATGCATATAGGTTAAAGACTGGATG